TAAAAAATACATCACACATAAATATATTTAAGATTAGCATTGAGAGTTTCTAAGCTGCACGTACATGTATAAACCTTATGGATGGCTTTTACAAAAAACACGCTGTATGTGATGCGAAGTATATTCGAAGTAATTGTAAATTCGAATCCAAAAAGATAACGAAATACAGCGTGATCTAATTTTGTGTAGGGAAGTATATTTTGATATAATACAGTGCATCACGTAGCAATCTCGCTGTTGGTCATTAATTACTGAATTCTTTACATCAAAAGAGAATCTTATTTCAAATAGGATATTTATCTTACGAAAACATATCTTACATGGGTTTCTTGATAGAGTGCTCCAACAGCAAATGCATATTCAATCCGTTTTCCTGTGCCATACACTGTTCCCTCTACGCTTTCTTGTGGCATCTCATTAGAGAGCGTGTGGACCCCCGGGTTTATCACACACTCAGCCGGGTTCAAAAGATTTTCTGGAAAACCACGCCAAACGCTGGCATCCAGTGTCATGTTATCGGTCTTCACGAAGTGCTGTGCGTATGGCGTCGACTTCAATTCCAAGCGACTTTCAAGCTGTCCTGCTACGAACGTTGACCGGGAAGGGGACTGCTGGAGAGACGTAAGAACATGCAGATGACGCCCCCCTTTTTGAGATTCACGTTTGTAAACACCCTGACTTCCTCCTAGAACTACAAGCCCCGGGTCATTTCCACCCGAAACCTTTATCAAAACTCCCATATCGTCAGTTACGTCGAATTCAAGTGGCAGAATAAGTATTCCTCGCTGTGGATATTCGTATACTTGTATTTCGTAAGTGGCGGTTGCATCAGACACAAGTACAGATGTTTTGGACCGAGGGGACAGTAACGCCAATTCCATGCCAGTTGCATCAGGGAGCGTGCTGGGTAGAAAGAACACGTAAGTCTGTCCCCACGTTGAAATTGGTGGCATCATTTCAATCATCATATCATGAGACAAGCCGGGACTTCTCTCCGCCAATGGAATAACCCTCGAACCGCATATAAGTCCAACGGGTTTGTCCGAGACGATATATGCACTTGTCAGTGGTCGTGTCAATTGATACAAGTGGAACGTTTGATATCTCGAAAGCTCGATTTCCAATGACTCGTGACCAGCGTAGTGTCTGCCTTCAAATTGGAATGAAGGCAGCTGTGGTGTATGCTGCGGTATTTGGATGCGGACTTTCGAATTATCATGTATGGCTAAAACAACAAATTCGTGATGACGGTTAGGATAAGTTGGGTACTCGCCACACGCCGCCATATACTCTTGCCCCCAAGCATCACAAGGTATGGCCAGATACCCTCCGGCCACATCTGGGCCCTGAATGATCACAGACACAGAAACATCCCGTGTGCTCAAAACTAATATGCTATCGTTCACGGCCTTCTCTAAATCCGTGCAGAACAACTCGGTTGGAAGGTGAAAGGTAAATGGCTTGCCTCTCTGTAGAACATCCCGAGCCAAGTGCGGGCGGTATCTAGATTGCAGTAGAGGTGACGTAATTGTGACGTGAGCTGGGATTGCGCTGTCCGTGGAGATCTGTACGTATACCCTGATGTCTGGGTCGCCTGCCATCGTACACCCGTCTATTGTTGATAGTAGAAACGTTTTGCCCGCGTTGTCTCTTTTACCTTCAATTGGAGAAAACAGGAGTTTTTATTTTGTAGTCAATTGTTCAATGAAGTGTAGAAATTAAATATGAAGTGTTTTGTTATTCTGCGGGTGTTTTATCAATCTAAATATAAAGGCATTTTGGTGGGGGTGCAGCATAAGAACTTCACGCAACGGTAATGAAATATAATTGCTGTCTTAATGGTCTTTTCTCTGAACATTTTTGTTTTAATACGAAGCAAAAATATTGTTAATACATGTATGATTAAAGATTGTGAAGATGCGATAAAGGCACTTTTGTTTGTACAAATCCAATCCTGCTGAATCCGCTGAACCAGTTTTCCTGCGAAACATGCCAATATTCAATCTGAAATATAAGGATGCATTCTGAAACATCTCCCTAACCTTGTGTAGCTGCAGAGGGCTGGCTCATCGTCCCACAGTGACAAAGATGAGCGGCATCCTCGTCTTTATTTCTACAAACCCCAGTAGCATCACACGCACACATGCATGGAGCTGAAATACATAGGAGATTAATGTACGTTCAAGGATGTTAAACTCCCGAGACGAAACTATGTCGAGTTCATTGAAAACAATCCTGTTTGTCTATTTCACGCACAGCACACGTAAAATTATATGTGAACCAATGTGTGAACCGAGTAACCACATAACTTGGCTTTCTTCGTCCAAAATGTGTCCACGAAATACTGGTATACCCCGATTTGGTGAGCCTTTCGATGCACACTGCAACCGGGACATAAGTAAGCTCAGCAGCTGCGCTATATTTCATATACACTTTTGGGACGAAGAAAGTTAATATATGTAGTTACTCGCTTCACATTCTGTTTTAAGTGTACTATGTGTGAAAAAGACAAAATACCAGGGTCATCAATAAACCCATCGTACTTCCGATTTGGGAGCTCAGCTCCCTTGGCGTTGTAACCAAGATAATCGGTCATTGCAGATAAAAATGTTAAGTAAGCAGACAGTGGTGGCACGTTGAAAATTGTGGTCGTGATTCCCCCGAGTTTCAGAGATTACTGGGTAATAAGGGGCACTATGCTTGTAAATAGAACTACTTTGTTATGCGTATATACATATACCTATAACCCTAACGCACACTACAACCTAATCACTCTGCGTAGTGATATCGGGAATAAAGTTAGTTTGGCAAGCACATGGAGTCTTGAGTTGATAGCACTCATAAACATGGTGTCAGAATCGGGATTATTTACCTGTTTGTAGGAAACCCGCTGACTGAAAAAGTATTTTAAATTATGGCGGAAGGACTCAGAAAACCTACCCCTTTGTCATTCGAAGGAAACGTAGAACAGAACTGGAAAACTTTCGTGCGTGAGTACGATATATATGTTGGAGCTTGCTATAGCGAGAAAACGCCAAAGCAAAAAGCGTACATGCTATTAAATCTCGCCGGTAGCGATGCTATCGAAAAATTTGAATCATTTACATTCAATGACGATGAAGACAAAGAAGATCCAGACATTTTAAAGGCCAAGTTCAGTGAGATTTGTAATCCCAGAACTAACGTTATACTTGAACGATACAGATTTAATTTACGCGCGCAACAAGATGGCGAGCGATTTCAGTCATTTTTAGCTGACCTGAAACACAAAATCAAAAGCTGCAACTATGGTAACCTTGAGGAAGACATGTTACGAGACAGAATAGTCATCGGTATAAAACATGAGAATACCAGAAAGGTGTTGTTGAGAGAGAATAACCTCACACTTACAAAAGCGGTGCACATTTGTCAAATTCACGAGTGCTCCGAGGTCGACGCCAAGCAAATGCAACAGCAGAATCCAGTGACAGTGCATCTAGTCAACAAAAAGAAGGCACAGAAGCCACGACAGACTTTTAGCCATGGCAGATCACAAGCAAGTGAGACGGCCAAATGCAGAAACTGCAGCAGTAGTCACGCCAAAGGAAAGTGCCCAGCTTATGGTAAAAGTTGCCACAAGTGCGGTAAGCTCAATCATTTCCAAGTTGCATGTAGAAGCCAGTCACAGAAAAGTAAATCACCCCGTACACACAAGGTCATTAGAGAAGTTAACACTGACTCTTGCAGTGACACTGAAGCAGATTTACTTGTAATTGACTCAGTGCATAGCCCACACGCAGCAAAGAAAGACTTACATGTAAAGTTTCTAGTCCATGATGTGAGCACAGAAGTCAAAGTTGACACAGGAGCTAAATGCAATGTAATGAGCCTAGCAACGTTTGATATGCTTCGAGGCAGAGAAAGCATCAACACAGCAGACAAAATGAAACTTATTGGCTTTACTGGAGATGCCATAACTCCAGTGGGAAGTGCCATTTTACCCTGTGAACTTAGAGGTGAAACACATGACATTAAATTCAATGTCATTGATGCCAATGTCCAGACATTATTAGGACTACCAGACTGTATGAAGCTGAAGCTGTTACAACTGGGAGAAAGTGTGTACAGCGTGAACACCACACCAGACATGTTTGCAGAATTCCCAGATATTTTTGACCAAAGGTTGGGACAACTACCTGTGAAGTACAAGATTACAGTTGACTCCCAAGTGACACCAGTAGTCAGGCCAGTACGCAAGCTACCTGTTGCTGTTAAAGACAAGGTCAAGCAGGAACTAAGAAGAATGGAAAGCCAAGGAATCATAGCCAAGGTGACCAAACCTACAGATTGGGTTTCAGCAATGGTGGTAACCACGAAGAAAAACACGGACACAATAAGGATATGCATTGATCCAGGTGACCTTAACAAGGCAATCAAGCGTCCCAGGTACCCCATGAGAACCGTGGATGAAATCATAAGTGATATGCCCAATGCGCATTACTTCACTGTTTTAGATGCCAAGCAAGCCTTTTTACTGCATTCCATTAGAAGAAGAATCTTCTTACCTGACCACATTTGGTACACCATTCGGTCGCTACAGATACCTACGACTGCCAATGGGAATCAGCTCAGCATCAGAAGTATACCAGCAAGCCATAGAAAACTTGATGAACGGGCTGCCATGTAAAATAATAATGGATGACATCCTAGTGTCAGGCGCAACAGAAGAGGAACACGACAAGAATTTGAGAGCAGTTCTTCAGAAGTTGAAAGAAATCAACATAAAACTCAACGCATCCAAGTGCAGATACAAGATGACCAGTGTGAACTATGTGGGACACACATTCACAGCTGATGGTCTCAAACCAGACCCAGAGAAGGTCAGAGCAATCCAGGAGATGCCCAAACCCAGAGACAAGACAGAGTTGTTACGTTTTCTAGGTATGACCAAGTACCTGTCCAAGTTCATTCCACAGCTTAGTGAGAAGTGCGCACCACTTAATGAACTTCTACGCAAAGATAACTCATTTGTTTGGAACCATGCACATGACACAGCCTTAGAAGCAATCAAGCAGGAGATAAGTCAGGATTCCTGTTTAGCATACTATGATGTTTCCAAGGAAGTCACACTGACCTGTGATGCTTCACAAGCAGGCTTAGGAGCTGCATGTCTACAGAATGGGAAACCAGTGGCATATGCATCCAGAGCAATGTCAGACGCAGAGAAACGCTATGCCCAAATTGAGAAGGAACTTCTCGCAGTAGTTTTTGCATGCGCAAAATTCCGAGATTATATATATGGCAAGGACATAACCATTGAAACTGACCACCAACCACTGATCTCCATATGGAAAAAGCCACTAGCAAGTGCCCCAGCAAGACTGCAACGAATGCTACTACAGCTGCAACCATACCGCATCAGACTGGTGTACAAGAAAGGGAAAGATTTGTTGGTTGCTGATACACTGTCAAGGGCATACTTGAATGAAGGCAAGGATGAAACTGAGAGCAGTGACGTGGAAGTTCTGTCCATAATACCTGTCGCAGACTACAGGATGGAAGAGCTAAAAGCAGCCACAGCCAAGGACCCTATACTGAAGAAAGTATGCAATGCAGTTCATGAGGGATGGCCTAAAAGTGAAAAGAACTGTGACCCAGATTTGAGACAATATTTCGCATTCCGAGATGAGATCATAGTTGATCAAGGTGTAGTGCTGAAAGGAAGCCGGATCATTGTACCAACAACTTTACAGCATGAATATGCATTGAATGCACACAGAGGACACGCAGGCTGTCAAGCAACAAAGTCAAGGGCAAAAGACATAATGTATTGGCCCAGCATGATGAAAGACATTGACAGTATTGTAGAAAACTGTACCGTGTGCCTGTCTATGAAAAAGCACCAGCAGAAAGAACCACTTATGTCTTACCCAGTACCGACCAGACCATGGTCTATTGTGGCTACAGATTTATTCGAGTGGAGAGGTGTGAACTACATGGTAACAGTGGACTCGTACACTAGCTGGTATGAAGTCAATACCCTAGGGAACAGTACAGCCAGTGCAACAGTTATAAAAAAACTTAAGTCGCATTTTGCAAGATTTGGCATTCCAGACATCCTCATTTCTGACAATGGTCCACAATTCAGTGCCAGAGAATTCAAGGAATTCAGCCAAGCTTGGAAGTTCAACCATGTAACCAGTAGCCCCCATTTTCCGTCTAGTAATGGATTGGCAGAAAGAGCAGTACAGGCAGCAAAAGCGCTTCTAGAGAAAAGTGCACGTGAAGGCAGTGACCCTTATTTAAACCTGCTCAATAGCAGAAATGTACCAAGAGACCCAGTGCTTGGATCAGCGGCCCAGAGGATGATGGCACGTCGCACCAAAAGTGACATACCTATAGATGAATCATTACTAGCTCAGAAAATACTTGACCCAGAGATAATCACACACCGCCTTTCAGAAAGGAGATTACAGCAGAAAAACACATATGACAAGACAGCTAAACCACTCCCAGCATTGCAACCAGGTGACAGAGTCATGCTGGAAAGCAAAACAGGTTACAACAAACCAGGGATAATCACCAAGGAAACGGCCCCGAGATCTTACAATGTCCAGTGTGATGATGGCAGTGAACTCCGCAGGAACAGAAGACACATCCTGAAAATGCCAGACCAGCACAAATTATCACCAGATTCAGGGGATATGAAACCAGATAATCAGGACAGTGCGAAAATCACAAGAAGTGGGAGAGTTATAAGACCACCCAAAAGACTGATAGAGGAGTAAACCATACATGAGGACTGACATTCATTTGTGTTTGTTATGTATTGTTATTTCAGAGTGCCAGTGCAGGAAAGCACTAAGTTTTGCAACATTTTCAGTGACATTCTTTTTACTTTACTTTCTGGGAAAGGAAAGGATCAGACAGACTGTAATTGACAAACTGTTGAAAGTGAATTCAGAGACTGTTGAGAATACACTAAAATTAGACTGTTGAAAGTGAATTCAGAGACTGTTGAGAATACACTAAAGACTGTGAATATAAGAGACTGTTGACATTGCAAAGTTTGCAATCATTCAGAGACTGTTCGTTTATTTGTCACAGTTAATTACTGTCAGATCAAATTCATTCAGGAGGACAGACTTTTCTTTCATTGAACATTTAAAAAAAATGTTGACTTTGATGTTAATGTTGATTGTTTGAATTTGATGTTAATGTTGATTGTTCATTATTGACTTTACTTAAAGCACTCAAAGTTATTCATTTAGAAATACAATCAGTAAAAAAGTTACAGTGCCAAAATCAAAAGTGATTATCTAGAACTAGCAATACAGAGCTACAGTTATAGCAGTCCAGTAATGTAATTGTAATAGTTTTCTAGAAAAGGGGAGATGTAAATAGAACTACTTTGTTATGCGTATATACATATACCTATAACCCTAGCGCTCACTACAACCTAATCACTCGGCGTAGTGATATCTGGAATAAAGTTAGTTTGGCAAGCACATGGAGTCTTGAGTTGATAGCACTCATAAACAGGTCCCTGGTCATATCTATTACGGTTCCAAAACTCTCTCTCTCCTCGCACGAGTTTCTTAGAAAGCAGGCGGTGGACCTGTTGCTGATACTGGCCGCACTCCTTTACAAATCCTAACTCTCACCTCTTGCATAGCGCCATCTATACTAAACTATTTTTATATGGCGTAGACTAGGCAAAGAGTGACGCTGAAAAGTCGGAATTATCATCAAACGTTCTGCACACTGAGTTTCACCATACATCAGGACACTTTTCTTAGATGGTTTTGTTATAGATTCTATTGACAAACTTAATTGGTGAGTTCAGGATGAGACATCTAAAGTGACGGACACATATGGTATCGACTGTGTCAGTTGTTCACTGTTCACATCACGATGCAATGTGCTGGTGAAGATTTTACAAAATGCTTCAGAATGTTGACGCTGCAGATTAAGAGCGCTCTTGGAGATCTAGCAAGATTGCACGCAGTCATCTACTTCAGTTTTGCCATTCCCTTTTCATCTGTAATTACCCAATGCCTTATGAAGTTGAGGCAATAAAATGAAGAACTGACGTTATTCCTTCTTATATAATTTTTAAGTGGGCCTTTTTCTTGTTTCTTTTGAGTCATCTGTCGAAATAGTAATATATGAACTTAACTATGAACAACTAAAACTTTCCATGGCGTGTCCACTTACGTGAACTAGCACTACCATCCTGAGTTTCAGAAAGCACCATAAACCCACCTCTTTATTATCAGTACTGGTGTGCTTGAGAGTTGACTTACAACAACACATTTTTGGTAAATTTATTTTATAAAATATTTCTTTGCAGTTTATTTGATTTAATTCTAATATTCTGGATCTTGAGGAAAAACCCTGGTCATTGACTTTTTTTGTCTTTTCCAGTCCATCATCTGACTCCACACTACACTGTACTACTATGTTCTAGGAGGCACAGGACTATACTGCCACAATGGAACACAATGACTCCAGACTACTACACTGTACTAGGAGGCACAGGACTATACTGTCACAATGGAACACAATGACTCCAGACTACTACGCTGTACTAGGAGGCACAGGACTATACTGCCACAATGGAACACAA